TCGCTATGGCTCGGTTTGGGGTGAGATGTGGAACGGGAATATATTTCCTTGGCTTTTGCAGTGAAGCGAGGAATGCGAGTATGATACCAGCGTGTTTTTGGTTGCGCAGCTACTCTTCTTTTTTTCGCGACGTGTTTCTTTCCTGTGACATGTTTCCGGAGTTGTTACCTATCTGCGATTTGAATTTATAAAATGGGGGACGGAAAGGGTAAATCAACAACCGACCCTAAAAAGAAAAATCGGAAACTCGGATGGTGGTAGACAAACAACAACACCGCCAACTGGTTCATCAACGCGGCCAAAAAAATAGCAAAAGCTCACCGGCCAGCCCCCTCTCATTGGGTACCAGTTAGGTGCGTTAAGTCAGCTGCCTGGGAGAGGGAGGGTGGTCCGGTTACGGAATCCCTATTTTTTTAAGGGATTTGCTCCGAAACCCCGGGGGCTCGAACCTACCACCTTTGGATATCGGAAGGAGGCGAACTTCGACCCGGGGTTTAGAGGACCACCGCTGGTAACCACTGAGCCACCCGTTGGGGTGGGCGGTGGTCCTCGTTGGAAATTAGGCGCGCGGACCGAGTATGTATAGCACGGGAAGGTACTCGTGTGGCCAACGCCGTGAATCACAACTTGACACTGTGCTGGGTGGCCCGTCAACAAGATGATGGCAACGCGTTTGTGATGTTCGGGGGAGGTCTAATGTCTTGCAGGTTGCAGTGCTTGGATAACATATCCTACCTACATGGTATAACCTGGGGCCTGGACTAGGAGTCTATTACATACCTATCCCAATCACCCTACATACTACGCACAACCGCGCACCAACCTCCCTCAGTCAATACAATCATCCCTCATCCTAAACAGCGTGCCAAACACCTCATCGGCCTTGGACCTCACCGCATCATGATACCACGCATTCGTCTCCCTGACCTTAATCCCCCTCACCAACGCCGCCGTCTCCCTCGCCAGCTCAAAATCCACATACATGTCATCGACATAACTGACGGCATACACAGGCACCTCGTTCCGCCGCAGCTGCGCCTCGTCGTACAGGTCCTCGTCCCACTCGGTGGTCGCGGCCAGGATGTCGGCCGCCGCCCGCAGCACCGCCAGCTCCCGCCCCAGCGTGCCGTCGAAGTGGAACGGGTACACCATCTCGCCCGAGAAGTATAGCGGCTCCGTGGGTGGGGTGTTCTGCAGGAAGGTGGTTGGGTTAGCAAGCCAGGCGAAGGGTTTGAGGGCCTGGCCGACGCGCTGGGCGGCCCAGTTGGACGGCGGGGCGCCGGTGCGCTTGGTGTTGTAGATGGCCTCGTGGAGGATGGCGTAGACGGGGTGGGTGGGGAAGGAGATGTGTGCTTGGAACTCGGCGAGGGCGGTGTAGGTGAAGCGGCCGACTTGGTCGAGGTCGGCGGTGAGTCGCAGGATCAGGGAGTGGATCTCGTCGAGCCCGCCGTGACCACCGAAGGAGAGGCCGAGGGTGAGGAAGAGGGGGACGGTGAGGTTGCCGCCGGCTGGGAGGGGGGTGTGGGGTTGGGATTGGATGTGTTCGGCGATGCGGCGGACGGCGGCGATGTCTTCGGGGTATTTCTTGTAGTAGGCGGCGTTGCGCTCGATGAGCTTTTTGTAAGTAGCGGTGTAGACCTCGTCGGCGGTGCGTTTGACCGGGGCGAGGCCGCCCGTCAGAAAGGCTTCCCTGAGGCTTTGGGGATATTTGGAGAGGTAGGTCAGACTGACGAAGCCGCCGAAGGACTGGCCGAAGATGGACCAAGCTTTCTTTTCCTCTTCAAAGTCCGCCGTCAGGCAGAGTCGAACAGCTTCTAAGTCACGCACAATGTTATTGGCGCGGAACAGCTTTAGGTAGTCGGCCTGCGCCTGGGGGTTGCCTTGTGATAAGACAGAGTCAGCGTTGATGGGTGTGCTGAGCCCGGTGCCGCGGTAGTCTAGATACAACACTTGATAACCACGGCCGAGAGCAACATGGGTCAGGGCATGAGTCTGCGGGGTACGGTTTCCAAAGCCCGGTCCGCCTTCGAGGTAGGCGAGATAGGGCAGCTTCTCCTTGCTTGCCAAGTCCGAGGCCGAGAGTGGGATGATGGGACGCTCATTCTTCCTGACACTGCGACCGAACAGCTTTAGGGTACCTGCTTCTGGACGGGCGTAGTTCTTTGGCACCTCGAAGAAGAGCTCAGTGACGAGGAGCTGACCTAGTATGTGTAAGTGAAAGGGAGAAAGCAAAGACATGGACAGTGGTTAGAGAGACTCCTACCGGGGAGAACATAAGCCCGCTGGCTAAGGAGTCGGGCGGCCTGGATAGCAGCCATGTTTGGACGGGTTGCCTGCTTCAATGGACGATAACTGTTCCCTTGCACTTCGTGTGGTGTGGGACGTGTGTTGTGGGACGTGTGTTGTGGGACGTGTAATGTCTGATGTGCGATCTCGGGTTTAGGCGTTGTTGGGTAATTGAAGCTTCACAACAGACCAATCAACTCAAGGACACATTGAGACTTAGAAAGAACAAACGAATCAGATGTATTCAGTTGCTCGTGGTCTGGGAAGGAAGTGCCCGAAATTACAAAATCCGATTTTGGGACTTGACGGGCGCCCTTGCTGCTGCCTGTCTTGCTAGTTGGGTAACGGTAAAACGGCAAGGAAATGGCCAAACCTACAAGAGATCAGAAAGACAACAAAACTATGAAAATAATATCCTGTGGAAATCTGGCGGCTTGTTGTGCTGGAGAGTTAGTTAAAGGCTTAAAGCCCAGAATCCGGGGTGTTTGGCTGTAATCCGTAACGGCCCCCGCTTATTGAAGCGGGGATCGACAACAGCAGGTCGGCATAATCGGAGTGGGGCCGGGACGGGGGTCCACTGGACGTGAGTTATTGCCGAGGGCACGGAACGGCTTAACGTGGTGCCTGCCACTGATGGTGGGGCTTCCAGCTCTCCCCAAAACTCGGAAAAGCCTGCAGGCGCAGCTCGCAAGCTCGTCATGCAACCAACCAACTTTGGAAGCTGCCCGAGCAACTGGCGCAACTAATGTGACATGAGCAACATCCAACTCATCCAGACTCTGACCGAGTCCTTTGTTGCGCTCTCGGATGAAGTTCAGTCGCTGATTGACCGCAAGACCATTTTAGAGCACAAATTGCGTTATGCGCACGAACAGGTATGTCGAATGCTATTTTTTTTTTTCCTTTCCCGCCGCTTCCGTGATGATTTCTTTAGCTCTAGATCTGGAGCTGTCTCCCAAGAGGATGACAGCAAATGGAGACAACTTTAGTGTCTGATCCTAACCAATTCACACTCTCCGACTACGCGAATTGAGTCAGACAGTCAGCTAACTCGAAGCTTGACAGTACCAATACCTCGCCGATAAGTACGCGCCTGCCGTGCCCGAAGTAGCCGAGACGCTGGTAAAGCTACAGCTGCCCCCAGATCTTCACCAACCTGTCGCGGCGGCAACCTCGGCCGTACCTTTGCCGAAACGTAGCCAGCCCGGAAACAGCCAGCACCAGGTCGCGCTGCTTATCAGGGCGGGCCGCAAAGCTGCTCAGGAACTCGTGGCCGGCATCGTCAGTGCGAACCGAGGCGGGGAAACCGGGGAGGCCGACGAACAGCCAACGTCACTAGACATGGATATCGTAACATCGGTGTCGACCGTCCTCGAAAAGGACTTCACCGTGGAAGGCAAGAAAGGCGTATTAGCCTGCCCATTCTCGGCCCTGCCGAATCAAGACGGCGGCCTTCTCGAGGGCGTTGAGCGGGTCGACAGTCTTCAGGACCCAGCTGGCGCAGCCGACCACTCGCCGCACAAGTCATCTGACCCCATCTGCGCTGCCATGCTCAACGAGACGGCCGATCCGTCTGTGTCTGCTCCATCCAAGTGCCCGATTCGTTTCCTAGACAAGCATTCGCCTGAAGAAATTGCCCACTACGTTGAAACGCACAAGCATTCGATCCCTCGAAGCCATGAGGTCTGCGTTAGGCGGTACCAGAAAAACGAGGAGCAGATCAAGAAGCTCGATGCCAAATACGGGAGCCTTGTGAGCATGGTCAAGGACCTGAGCCATCTCCACCGTCCGATGATGCCGCCCTCAAGGCAGGACCAGAGGGACTCCGACAGAGCGTCAACCAAGAGAGTAGAAGATTGGACACAGACGGTTGTGGCGGGTGATCCGGAGCCAGATAGCGACAAAACATCAGTAAGTGATGAGCGCGAGAGCCGCTTTGACCGCCCCATGAGGGACGTGCGGGTTGGGGAATCGCCTAGCCGGCCATGGGGGATCTCAGTACCCTTGGACGCGGGAATTCGGCAGCGTGAGCCATCACCCAAGCCTGTAGGCGACCCTGCGCGGGCGCTTAAGGAACCGATAGGCCCTCGAAAATGCCCGTTTGATCATACCAAGATGTTCCCGGGAGCAAAGCGAGAGGATGTCGTGGTGGATGCTCCGGTCGAGGCGCCGGCCGCCCCACCCAAGATCGAGGTACCGCCGCCGAACACGCCGCAACCCACGTTTGTTAACCTCCCCGAGGTACCGGCATCAACTGAGGGGAAGGGCGATCGCCCGCAGGTTGTTTTCAACATTTCCGGCCCTGTCTTTATTGGGTACCCGATGGAGCAAGCCATGGAGTTTATGAAGCAGTTTCAGGGACACTGATGACTCTGGGGTAGGCGTGGTTCGGTGATTTCTTTGGTGGTTTATTGTTTCGCGAGCACGGCGTTCGGGCAGCGTACCGGAGATACCACTTGGGTGTTCTGGGAGGTATTTCGTCGATGGTTACAGCAAGATATACTCCAACACAATGTTTATTTGACCTTTACAGACTGCATAATGCTACTCCTCTAATAACTGTTGTTCCTTCTATTCACACCCAACCCTACGTACCTGGTAAACGCCTGTCAACTCCAACGCCACTGTGTGAGAACCGAGCAACCAGCAGAACTCTGAAACCGCCAAGTCTGAATCTGGCAACGATACCTATTTCGTTGCGCCGTTTATGCCTCCCTTCCCGCGCCCATTCGACCCAAAGCCGTTGCCCGCCGGCTCGTCGTCCCAGCTATCGTGATACCCATCTCCCGAGGCATCCCACAGCGAGATATCGTCGTCATCCATCAGCGCGGCAGCATCCAACTCGTCCGGATCCACCATGCGCCCGCTCTCCAGATCGTCGCCCGTGATGCCCTCCTCCACCTCGTCGTGGCCATCCAGGAGCGCCTCGCCCGCTTCGAGCTGGGCCTCTCGCGCCAGCTCGGCCGCCCGCGCCATGGTGCGCCGGTAGATGAACAGCCCCACGCTGAAACCCAGCAGCCCAAACGCGGCCATGCTGATGTAGTTGATGGCACGCGAGGCCCCGCTCATCTTGTCGCCCGGCTCGGCCAGCTGCGAGAGCTGCCAGCCGATGAAGACGTGCACGAGGAGTTTCGGCCTGTGTTTGGTCAGTTAGTGGGGGAGCCATCACCACCAGTTAGACGGCGAAGAGAACTAAACAAAAGTCAAGAAAAAAAGGGAGAGAGAGAGAGAGAGAGATCAACCTACGTCGCGGCCAACGTAGCCAACACGAACTGCCCGACCCCCAAACTCCCCACCGTCGCCAAAAACCCATTACTCAAACTATACGGCAACGGACACAACCTAATCATCACCAACACCCCCAAACCATCCCTCCTCAGCACCTGGCCCAGCGCCACGAACCTCGCATCCGCCCCCACCAACCGCTGCACATACCCCCTCAGTACCCCGCGACTCGCCGCGAACGCCCCCGCCGAGCCCACGACGGTCGCGCTCGCCGCCAGCGGCCACCCGGCCGGGAACCCGTACACGAACCCGGCCAGCGTCACGCACGTCGAGTAGCCGATCAAGGGGGGGAACCCCGTCGCGACTGTCGCCAACCACAGCGGCAGCCAGCCGAGCGGGCGCGCGCGCCAGGTCTGCGCGGCGGCGCCGAGCGCGACGAGGATGGTGTGCGAGTAGATGAGGAGGAGGATGGTCAGGGTGAGGATGAGGAGTCCCGAGAGGGAGACGAGGATTTGGTAGTGCAGGGGGAGGGAGGCGTAGAAGTGGGTGTAGCGCTGGTAGAGGTAGGTGAGGGTGGTGAGGGTGGTGGTGAGGAAGGATTTGGTGGTGGTGGTGAGGGTGGTGATGGTGGTGGCGGTGGTGTGGGTGGTGCTGGCGGTGCCGGGGCGGCCGGGGGACAGGCGGCGGACGCCAGGGGTTTTTGGGCGCGGGGTCCAGGGGGGAGGGGGGAGGTTGTTGGTGTTGAGCTCGGTGGGCGTGTCGGTGGAGGGACGCGTGGTGATTATGGTTGGGGGAGAGGTGGCTCGGTTGGAGGAGGCATCGTGGAAGACGTCGTCTCCTTGGGGGGGAGGCATCGCGGTGGGTGGTAACGTTGGTTTATTTATTTTATTGATCCTGCTGCTTGTGCCGGGTCGTGTCTATGTACGGATGTGACCGGGGGAGCCGGGTCGGCGATGTCCCGGGAAGGGCGTGCTGTTTCTGGTCGCAAACACATTTTCTACTTGAGCATATCGGGGGTGTCGATGTTCATTGTAGGTCTTGTGGGATGTAGCGGTATCGTGAATTCGAATTGGTTGCTTTGGTGTTTGGTGTTGGAGTCGGTCCAAGTAGAAGGTGCCGGGAACAAGAAAAAGGGACGGGTTGATGAGGTTCCATGTCAGATTGCCAGGGGTCCGGCGGGTCGGAACTGGCCCAGACTCAGCCACGGGGCCTCGCTTTGAGAGCTGATTAGAGAGCTGACGTGCCCAGACCAACCAGTTCCAATGGTGCGGTGTGGCACAGAGTTTATGCAGGCTCCCTATGCTGGATCTACATACATCAGCGGGAGAATTTAGATTGGCAAAGTCTAACAACACTGGTGCTGTGCATGCAACATCGGGAAGCCAAAGAGGTGCAAGGCTGTGAGTTGCGCACTGTAGGATCAGCAGGGGGCTACATCATCCCGCCCGGAAACGTCATTGCCAAGGGCGAGGCCCACACTGTCAACTTCTCTCTCGGCATGGATTAGCGCAGGGGGTCATTTGGTTGCTTCATATCTCGAGTTCAAGACTTTTACTTCTTTCTGTTTAAAGGTGTAGCTACGGCCCCCTGAGGAGGCACCAGTAAACCCACCCCGATGTCCGTTTGTCACCTGCCCCTGGCACCCGAAGGGCCCTTGGGTGGTTCCTTGGTCGCCGACGTGTCCCTAACAAGCAGCTTGACCTTGCCCTCGCCGATCTCGACACCTTGGGATAGGATATCCACCTCCTCCTTGGCCTCGTCCTTCTTCATCAGTGCCTTGCCGTCTTGCGAGAGCGTGCGGTCCCAGCTGCGCGCGTCGATGCCCAGAATCCCCCCGGTGCTGTTACGGTCGCCGGGGACCGAGAACTCGCGGTACGCGTAGCGCCATTCGTTGAGGAAGCCTCGGACCGCCTTGCCGACCTTGTCCTTACCATTCTTGCTATGGTGACCGGTGCCCGTGATAGCATAGATCGGCCGGCTTTCCGAAGCGTTCTCCGTCAGGATGCCTTCGAGATATTCGACGGCTTCCTCGGGGTGCAGCCCGTGCAGGTCCACGTAGATTTCGGGGCAGTCACCCCTGGCCTTGTTCCGCTCCTCGTATAGCTGCTGGGCCGCCTCGCGATGAGCCTTCCGCATGAGATCATTCTCGCTCTGCCCGCGCAGACTGAGCGCCTTGGCGGCTCGCGCATCGTTACGATTCCAGGCTTGAGCAGCACTGTTTCATGTCAGTATTTGACCCATCCCGCTGCATCCTCCTTTGGCTACATGACAAACCTTTGAAGAAACTTGTTCCGGAGGCCACCGTGCTTGATGGCCTCCTGTCTCGCCTTGAGATACGCCTTGTTGGCCTTGTCACCAGTTTCAAGCCATGGAATGTGCTTCGGGTTCGGGATCGCCTGGGCAGCCGCGCTGTTTTCCCCGTTGCGGACGTTGGTCGAGCTGCCGTTGCGGGGAGCCCTACGATTTGGCACAGCCGGAGTCGGCGTTGGCGACATCTTGACAATGTCCGCCAGCGTGCTCGGCGTAAAGTTCTCTTTAGGTCCGTGGCCATGGCCACCTCTCTTACCGTGGTGTTTCTTGCCCTGCTTTACTATAGCAGCACCGAGTGACGGGAATGCATCAGCATCATCAGGGGAAGGGGCAGACTGGGTGTTATCCTTTTGCTGATGCCGGCTGCCTGGCCGAGATCTGGGCCGGTCGGGGTAGGCATGATGACCCTTGAATCCCGGTGGGAGGGGTCACACCCAATGTCGGGTAGCTGGCAGTAGTCGCAAAGAGTTGCTCTGGCGTGCCCGGTTGGAGCGCCGGAAAGTTGCTGTAGTCCTGCAGGTTCACCGTGGCATGCTGTGTTGGGGGCGTGCCGGAGCCATCGATGTGTAGCCTGTTGACGAGATGCGAGGGATCATGCGAGAAAATACAGGTGCTGCCGGCAAGGCAGTTGCCCGCAACCCAGTATCTAGGCCATGTCAGTTCCGAATTAGCCCCGGGGCTTTCCCGCAACTCACTTGCAGATATGACTGCTCAGGTCATGGCTAAATCGGCAGTCGGCCCGCAGACACTGGCCTGTGGAAAGATAGAACTTGCAGATCACGCCAGACTTCTGCTGGTCTGCCGGGGTGCCCGGGCGGCCATCGGGGCTCAAGGTCTTTCCGATAGTGACTCGGTTCTCTTCAGCCTGAGCAGCCAACGCAAGGTTGTCCTGCACCTGCGTTTCCATGATAGCCGCGACGGTGGCGCCGAGGTCGTAGCCGTGCATGGCGAGAGCGGCGCTGATCTCATCGTCCGACTTGGTCTGGCCGAGGATCGACCGCAGCATGTCGTAAGGGGTCATATCCGATTGCTGCTGCGTCGAAACAAACTCGGGCGCGCTCACGTTCAGCCCGCTAGAGCCGCCAACCGAAGATGTCACGCTGATTGCGTCATCGCTCACGAGCCAGTCCACATTGTCAGACTGGTAGTCGCCGAAGACCTCCTGCGACGGGGTGTCGTCGTTGGCAAATTGGTAGGCGTTCAGGTTCGGGCTGTGCGGCACGGGGGCAGCAAACGCCAGCCTGGGAGACGGCCGCGGCGAGCCAAAAGGGGACGCAGTCGAAGACTTTGTCCGACTAAACGGTGTGGGCATGAAGCCCGGCGGGGCAAGAGGACTCACGCCCAGCCGAGGTGAACTCGAGAGCGGGGTTCCAGAGCCGCGCCACGAGGCCGGCGACGGCCGCCGCAGGATGGTTTGCCGAATGGGGGGCGGCGAGGTTGCGCTCCCCCCTCCTTCTCGGTATCTCCATAATGCGTCTAATATTGCATTTTCTAACGCTTGCCCAGTCAAGCTAGTTTTCACTTTGAGCAACTCCTCGAGCCTGTCCGTCTTGTCCTCGTCCTCGATGTTGGGGTCCTGGAGAATCGGGAGGCAGATCTCGTATGTCTCGTCGGAGACCATGGTTTCGGCCAACGGAGGGTTGGAGGGCGTGGTGGGTAGGTAGGCAAAAGTCGTGGAAACGGCGGTTTACTCGGTGGCTAAGAAACGTAGTTGGGGATTACTCTGACGTTGGGGTCAAAGGTATTATGTTTGAGACGATCGGTGAATCGGATCAAAGGCGAAAAAAACAAAGCACAAAGAAAATCGATCGAAGTAACGAGGGGGGAAGGAAGCGTGACTGGGCACGGCGTATGGATGTGGTATGTGTCTGGTCAGCAGCAGCTATGTCGGGCGTCGAGCGTCGAGCGGAGTCGGTGAGCTGGCTGCCGCGAGCCCCGGGGTCGGAGCGGCAGGACGACTGACGATTCACTGCGACAACACAGGCGCGGTACGATGCGTGTTCCAAAAAGAGTAGAGATGACGGTAGTAGTGGATATCTAGTCGCATGTTGTCATCGAGGGGTGCCGACTATGGTCTCCAAGGGGGGAGTTGCGGTTGCGAGCAGGGGATCGAGAAACGGGGCGGTGGATTACGCGACACGGTGGTGTATGTTGGGAGAACCCCAAAGTTCAAAGAAAGTTGGCGGTAGCAATGGCCCCCCGCAAGGGAGAAGAGAAGGGAAACGTAAGATGGTAGAAAAGAAGCCGATCACTACCTATTGCCTATCGAACGCGAGGAGTGCGAGAGCGCCTCGACAGCCCCCGTGTTCAGCTGCGACCGAAATTAGGAGCGGACTGGAAGGAGATCTTCTGGGGCACCCGCTATCCGGACAGCTCCTGAGGACTGGGCTGCAAGGTGCTGAGGTGGTGGGTTCTGGGGGCCGCCATGGGCCAGGTGGGGCTGTGATTACAGTGCAAAAAGAGATTATAGTCACACAGTGCGTTGGTCAGGCGCCCCGCTGTGACCCAACCCACCTTTCTTTTGCTGGCTGAGCCCAATCCCCACCTATGGCATGGCACCACGGCGACCGAGCTGAAAGGTCGGCTTGTGATTGATGCAACTTGACCTCCACGAACAGAAGTCTTCCATCACCTCGGTCACCTCGGTCATGCACGTAGTTCCATAGGTAGTTACATGACCTGTTACTTTTTGAAGGTCAAAATATGTAAACAGCCAGCGATTGGTTATGGTGAGAGTTCAACGACAGGAACCATCACCACACACCATACCTATAACTATCGAGAGACCTCCCAACCCACCAGTTTAACCTGACCCAAGCAGGGGGTCATAACCCGTGCGGTTTACCCCGAATCTCTATGTATTCTGTATGCACATGTTGCAAATAGCTCGAGGATTCCCTCCCCTTCTTCAATAACGAACTGTGTCACAGAACTATGCGCCCTTGAATATTTGATAAATCCTACCTAAGGTATCTCATCGTCTTCATCTCCGAACCCGAACCCAAAGCTAAACCCCGTGTTCTTCTTTTGCGGTTGGTCTCCAGAGCTCTCGTCATCGCCCACCACGGAATCCCAACGGCGTTTCTTTTCAGCCAACTGCCTAAGCCCCGCCTCGAGCAAGTCAGGTCGCTCTTCTTTCAAGCGGCTGATAAAAAGACCATACGGGTCCGCAACCTCGCTTTCAAACCCAGACACTTGGTCTGCCTTATCCTTCAGGAAGGACATGACACCACCAAGGTGAGTCTCAGGCACAAAATTTTGTGTGAGAGCAATTCCGTCCTCGAGGTTCACCACGAGATGCCACCAGCCGCTCGGGACATGAAGAATCTCGCCCGCCTGGCAGATGCCTTCTCTGCACTCGGGCAACTTGCGGGCTTCCGAATGGAACTCCAGCAACCACTCGGCAATGCTCAGCGGACTCGTGACCTCGCTACTGTCTTTGGAAACAAACACGCCGGGTACGGATGCCGACGGCGGAAACATGATCCAGTATTTGGCGCCCTGGATGACGGCATTCCAGGCGCTCGTCGCATTGGGGTCTTTGTGGAAGGTAGATCCGCTGCGCGCGGGTCCGATAATGAGCCACCGGTGGGCTGGCCGCTCGGCCCCGAGGAGTTCGAAATAGTCAGGCCCGAAGCAGTCCGGCCTCTGGTATGCCGCACCTTCCTCCTTGCCAACTTTCAACGACATCTTCTCGGCAAACTTCCGATCGAACAGGTAGAGGGGGCTCTCATCCTGGCTGTTGCGCATGTACTGATGGTAGGTTTTGAACGACCAATCCACCGCTTCCGCTCGGAACACGACATCCGAGTACTGGGAGAGGAGGCTCTCCAGTGTCCATGACTCGGTGACTGACCAAGCCTGGATGCATTTGGTGAGAATGAACGGCTTCTTGCTCCACTTCCCCGCGAATTCCTCGTAGGAGAGATTCTCGAAGCGATCAATCTCGTTCGCGGCCGGAATGTTCTTCGTGTATTGGTTCAGGGAGATATGACTGCAGACGAACGGGCGGTGCAACAAATCAGAGAAAACACTACTGCAGTCGACCCGTATGTTCTGCCCAGGAGACAAGTTCAGAACCGTCGCCCTCCAGGTTCCTCGCCACTCGAAAACGGACTTGTTGCCAAGGTCTGATCTGGAGCACCGTCAACAGATGTCCGCACGCCTTGTACCGATACAATGAGCCGCTTGGCTGGGACGAAAGGGCAAAGTTCCGCAACAACCTACGTAACCAGGGAAGGCTAGTAGGTGGAAGGACGAATCCGCAGCCGTGACCTGAACGAGTCTTGAAACCCAACCAGTACGAACACACGAAAATCAACATACCTACCCTGACACTCTACCCACCTCTGCTTCGTACTCGGTGTTGCGGCGGAGTCTACTGCCATATCACAGGGTTCAGATGTGAATAACTTACTCTAAAAAGATTGCCTTCCATATGTCGTCAGCCATGCAGCACGCAAAGAGAAACTTGCATGTATAGCCGAGCAGCCTCAAAGTATGCGCATCTAAGTATTCCAGCAGCTGCATGAGCATTTCGTCTGGCAGAATTTGCAGCACGCCTAGGGACCTCCGAGCGTCCTCGCCGCCGCTCGAAAAGTACTTGTTGCCTAGCGGTTTGACACCGAAGGGGTGTGCTGGCACGGAAGAACCGAGGCTGGGCTCATCTTGACTGTTGTTGGGAATGACTGTAACCGGGTGACTCAATGGCTGACTCCCATCGCCCTCCTCTTCGAAGGCGCAGCTCCGACTTTGCCGCTGACGCGAGGGTAGCATGATGAGGGGGCGAGTATGTGCGTCAAGTATGCGTGGAGGTATTGTGTAGGTGCCTCATAGGGCTGGTGGTGGTGTCGTCCAAAACCGAACCGATCAAGACATCATCATTCCAGTTGAAAACCGTAAATATCGTCATGGACTGCGGGGCAAAAATAGAATGATGGTTCTGGCTTGCAGCTGCTACCCGCCGCCGAGCTGGCTGGCTGGTGGGGGGTGGGATGGGTGACTGATAAGACTTTTTTGACCTGTGCGCCACCGAGGAAAAAAAATCGATAAGCCCCACTAACCTTGTTTGGCCTTGGGCGGGGTTGCTGCCTAAGGCCATTGCTGATTCCGCCCCGCCAAAAGGAATTTTTTATCGCTGTCCACCCCAGGTCAGGCTTTCCTCTCTCGATCACCACAACTTCAGGAATCACCAAACTTTCAATCACCACGTCCTTTCATAGATTCACTTGTTCTCAGTTAGAATACTGGGAACTTTGAGTCTATATAGTTTTCCGGTAAACTTTCTTTTTTACCGATACATTCTGCAGCACTCGACGAGTCGCCTGCGGATTTTTTTCTCGATACCCCACCATCATCTTCTGAATTTCTAGATCTAAGCCGGGCTTGGATCTGGAAATTTTTGCGAACACAACACCGCAATTATGGCCACTGACAAGGGACTCGAGGATGTCCCCGAGGGTGCGTTTATTCCTGTTTTTCACGGCGAGGAGATTGCATTGCGACTGTCGACGAGCACTGCGACAAGAGTTCACCAGTCCTTCGATCCCCGCCCCCACCTGACGATTGCACACAAAATATGCGAGAGAAAAACCGGAACATGATCGCTAACAAACCTTTGCGTTATAGGACAGATCGAGTCGAACTACGATGAGACGGTCGATTCTTTTGACGACATGAACCTCAAGTCTGAGCTGCTTCGCGGTAAGAGCTCTCTTTCCAACGGCGGTCTGCGGTGGCAATTGGACATCCACTGACATATCCAAGGCATCTATGCTTACGGTTTCGAGCGCCCCTCTGCTATCCAGCAGCGGGCTATCATGCCGGTCATCAAGGGTAAGACAAGTCATCCCTTTGTCGAGGAAACATGACCATCGGCCGCTAACACGACAACCAGGCCACGATGTCATTGCCCAGGCTCAGTCCGGTACTGGCAAGACGGCTACTTTCTCTATCTCGGTCCTGCAAAAGATCGACCCCACCGTGAAGTCGTGCCAGGCACTTATCCTTGCTCCCACCCGTGAGCTTGCTCAACAGATCCAGAAGGTCGTCATTGCCATCGGCGACTTCATGAACATCGAATGCCACGCCTGCATCGGTGGCACTAGTGTCCGTGACGACATGAAGGCCCTTCAGGATGGCCCCCAGGTGATTGTCGGCACCCCCGGCCGTGTCCACGACATGATCCAGCGGCGCATCCTCAAGACCGACCAGATGAAGATGTTCGTTCTTGACGAGGCCGATGAGATGCTTTCGGTAAGTTGGAATCTTGGGCATCCACCTTGATATCATTCCTCTAACAATGAACAGCGCGGTTTCACCGAGCAAATTTACGACATTTTCCAGCTGCTGCCGCAGTCCACCCAGGTCGTTCTGCTTTCCGCTACTATGCCTCAGGACGTGCTCGAGGTCACCACCAAGTTCATGCGCGACCCTGTCCGCATTTTGGTCAAGAAGGACGAACTCACCCTCGAGGGTATCAAGCAATTCTACATTGCTGTTGAAAAGGAGGATTGGAAGCTTGACACCCTGTCGGATCTCTACGAGACCGTCACCATCACCCAGGCCGTCATCTTCTGCAACACCCGCCGCAAGGTCGACTGGCTTACCGACAAGCTCCAGGCCCGTGACTTCACTGTCTCTGCCATGCACGGTGACATGGACCAGACTCAGCGTGACCTGATCATGAAGGAGTTCCGCTCCGGCTCCTCGCGTGTCCTGATCGCCACCGATCTCTTGGCCCGCGGCATTGATGTCCAGCAGGTCTCCCTGGTCATCAACTACGACCTTCCCGCCAACCGGGAGAACTACATCCACCGCATCGGTCGTGGCGGCCGTTTCGGTCGTAAGGGTGTTGCTATCAACTTTGTTACTGCCGATGACGTGCGCATGATGCGCGAGATCGAGCAATTCTACAGCACCCAGATTGAGGAGATGCCGATGAATGTGGCGGACTTGATCTAAGCGACCTTTGCGACTCGGACATCATATACTCTTTCTCTTAGCATACCTCACACATTCCCATTCCATCGGCATCCGCAACCTACATAGTACTGACGGGGGACGTGCTGCGGTCTTCTGGTAGAAAGAGGAGGGAGCTGCTCGGCTGCAGGGGTTTCTTTTTTCGCTCTTTTTGTGGGGGCGTGGCATCTGGTTGTCATCCACAAAAGCTCTGATAGTTGATAGAAGTTTTGGCGCCTGCACCTTAATTAGTGAACGGTGTAGGCGCTACGGTGTCTATCAAGGAAGGCTGGTCTGCTCTTTTTTTCTCTAGTTTTGCCGGCTTTTTAGTGCCATATGTACGCAGAGTCAGGGAGGTTACCAAAAATGCGACCTAGGCTGATACCACAACTGTATGAACTTTAACCATTGTTTGGCCGTATGGTGTGAGTGTCTTTTTGGTGGTCAAGCCCAGGATGCCGAGCTGACCGCTGGCCGCTGGCTGCTGGCCGCTGGCTGCTGGCCGCTGGCCGTTGGCGCTTGGACAAAGAGGTACATAGTTATGTGGGGCATATCCTGGTGGCAGGCAGGCTCAACTCGCCTTCTCCGTTCTCCAACCTTTTCCAACAACTTAACGTCACATACCATTGACAACGCAATTCCTGATCATTCGCATACAATGGATCGCGCCCTCGACCGAAGTCTCGACGATATCCTCGGGGATCGGAAGCAAGTACGTCAGAAACCTACCAGCCCCCCCCCCAGCTGCACTCGACAATCAATCGTGGCTATTATCCGGCGGTCAGTTAACACAAGGCTGCAGAACAACAGCAGAGGTTCTCGCGGCGGTGGCCGTCGTCGTGACAGATCCGACTATCCTAGAGATGGCGTCAGAAAGGTACGCACCCACGATAATCCCGGCAAAGCTTCGTGCCACCTAGTCAAGAAGTACACGAGTGCTCAGATTTGGCCGTCGGGCAAGAACACGGCTAGGTTGATTGAACCCTCTCTCCTCCCCTCGTGTTCTTCCCCTCGATCATACAGCACATGGTTCGAACGACGCAGCTATGCGCAAGACATTGTGTGCGCGTGTTTGCTTCGCGGCGGGCTGAATGCACGCCACCTCGGCCAAACCGGATCGGATCGCGACTTGGGGGAAGGTAACCGCTCCAGCTTGAATCTTGCCGGCTAACACGCTCCCGATCGTTCATTTGGCGGGACAGTCCTTCAGAGATGACACGCCACGCAACCTCGACTCGTACGTATCCCCGATTAGCGTTAGGAGGATTGGCAACTGACGTGGTGGTTCAGCGAGTGGGTACACGACAAGTTCGAGGACCATGGTTTGTTCAAAAGAAATGGCATTCTCGTTGTTGGTCAATCCTAATGCTGCAGACAGGCAGCCGACGCTCCGGTCCCAGGCGCCGCTACTCACCCGACCCGTCAAGGTACGACAAGACCAACCTGCTCTCGAAGATCTGACTCTGACTCCCGCAGCGACGTAAGGGGCAGCAAGCTCAGGGTAGACAACATCCACTACGAACTAACCCAAGAAGACCTTGAGGTACTTCCCTCCTTCTCAGCCCTAGCCCTCGCCACGACTGACCTCTCTCTCCTCAGGGTCTCTTTTCCCGCATCGGCCCGGTCGTGACGCTCGACATGAAGTACGACCGCGCCGGCCGGTCCGAAGGCACCGCATTCGTGACGTACGAGTCCCCCCGCGATGCGGCTCAGGCCATCCAAGAATACGACGGTGCCAACGCCGCCGGCCAGCCGATTCGTCTCACTCTCATGCCCAGCGGACCGTCCATGTCGCGCCGCGGCAACCCGTTTGACTCGGTCGTCACCGGTGCCGGCCGCCCGCTCGCGGAACGCATCACCGTGCCCGGACAGGGCAGGTCCCGGTCGCTCTCACCGCGCAGGGCCGGCAGAGAGTCAGATGAAGAAGCTGCCCGCAGGGGTGTAGATCGGTACAGACCGCGTGGTGGAGGTGGCGGCGGTGGATCTGGGAGGCTGAGTCGGTCTAGGAGTCCGATTGGTAGCGGTGGCGGTAGACGGCGCGATGGCGGCGGGAGGAGGCCTGGCGGCAGGAGAGACGGTGGCAGGGGACGGGGTGACAGAGGCGGCGGTGGCGGTGGCGGTGGCGGTGAGAGGGCCGAGAGGGGCGGGCGGCCCAAGAAGACGCAAGAGGAGCTGGACGCCGAGATGGAGGATTACTTTGCCGGTGGAAGTGGGGGCGCTCAGCAGAACGAGGGCACCGCTGGGAGCGCTAACGGTGCTGCCGCGCAGCAGCAGGATTTGGGCGAGGATATTGACATGATCGAGTAAAGGGGATGGAATCGAAATTGAATTGGTGGGGGTATATCTCGACTAGGAACTATTATGACATGGACGGGCTTTTGATGGAGATAGACGGATGGATTTCTGAGCATACGGCCGGCTTTCGATCCATGTATAAGATGCCCAATTCTGCTAGTTATCCCACCGTTCTTGTGCCACGTCTCTGCTGTGGTGTTTGGCACGTTACACTATCTAGTGTTAGGGGGTTCGCCGACCTCATCCTTATTATAGAGCCCGGAACCATATTTTGATCTTTCTGGCAGGAATTCCTCTGTGGTTTCAAGATTCGTTCTCATCAGCTATATTGGCTTCCCACATCCTTTGACCGTCTTTCCAGCCGCCCGGCATCCTCCAAGTGTTTATCCCCTGGACTTTCTTTACACATCTGGCAATGGGGTGAGAAAGGAACGGGTGATCTGTCTCAAGTGCCAAAGATGACGTTTTATCTATACTCGTACAATCCACCCTACCACGTACACATGCCCAGGGCGCTCGCCTAAGCCAGCAGTGCATCCAGCATCTGCTTTGAGCGGACCATCAGGCTCTCCGAGGTCTTGTTGAATACATACAACCACAACAACAAACAATCCCCCACAGACAGCTCGACCCATCCACCTCCTGGCAAACAAAGCCGTTGCTGTCGAACGCCTACACGCTTCCCAACCCTTTACACCCTTTGCACCCGCCCCGGATTGGCCCGCGCGACAAAGTACGACCGCGGACTATCCAGCTTGGCCGCAATCTCGGGCAAGCCACGCATGGGACCGCGGGAGAGGAAGACGCCCGTGGCGGAGACGGCGCCGAACAGGCTGGGGTGGTCGGTGACGGGGTTGACGGGGCAGGGGTCGATGACGGCGCCGGGGGTGCCGAACGCGCCCGTGATGGTCGCGGACGACTCGGCCGGGTCCCAGTCGCGGCTCCAGGCGGCGAGCGCCTGGGATGGGGTCGGGTACGCGGCCTCGACGAAGAACTGCACGAGGGAGCCGGGCGGGATCAGGCTGTGGGCTGGGCCGGGGTTGCCCAGACCGTGCGGGCGGCGGCTTTGGAGGCGGGGGAGGTCGAGCGGGGTGCCGTGGTAGTTGGGGTCTTGGAAGAAGGATTCCTTGAAGTTGTTGAGGGTGTGGTGCTCGTCGGTGGCGAGTTGGGTTTCGGGGTCGAGGGAGAGCAGGCCTTGCTTGGCGCCCCAGCCACCGCCGCCGCTTACTGGAGGTCATGGTTAGGGAAAGTAGACTTAGCGGTTATGGGGGGCTGGTGGTGTTTACTTACCGACTTTGTGGAGACGGCAGCCGGAGATTAGGAGCGGGTCTAGTTTTTTGGCCGTGTCTCGGGCTAGTGCCCATTCTACGTCGGGGTCGTAGCGGTCGACCGGTAGCGGAGTTAACGGGTCGAGGTACCTCGTGGTACGGCTCGGAGGCATGACCAGGGCCCAAACGGCGATGTGGGCTTCGTCATGGCTGCTGTCGTCCCGGAGCCGGCGGGGTGCTCGGAGGAGCTTGGGGATGATGTACTCTAGCTGCTGTGAAGGCGGACTCGGTCGTCCGTCGACTTCGATCTGCGAGAGGATGTTGCCCAGGCTGCGGAGGACTAGGGCCGGCGACGTCACGGGGACGAGATGGGGACGCACTGTGGTCAATGGGTTGGGGGCTTCGAATTGCAGGTCTTCTATTGGAAGGACGACGGTCTGGCTTGTCCGGTTGAGCTTCTGGGTCAGCCTCGGGGGCTGGTGTGTGTTGGCAAGCCACCGGCTCTCGACAAGCGTAGTCGGGCTGCCACTGGAGAAGAGGGTCTTGGCGAGAGGAACATGGACAGCCAGTTCGGCCAAGTTGGCGGGTGACCGTTGGAACAAGAGCGAGGGCCGTGAATCGGCCTCGGTGGCGAGCTCGGGCTCAAAGGAGGAGGGGAGCAGCTTGGAGGTTTCTCCGCGCAGGACCGAGATTCCTTCTGACGAGGAGAAGGCGTCGATGCGGCGATCGTAAGCGGGGACCTGGTCGACGGCGGCAGCCAGGACGGATATCTCTTCTCCCTGGCCGCTGGTCATGCCCGAGGCAGTGAGCATGCGGGCGACAAAGGCATCGTCATGTAGCCAGCCGGCCAGCGACTGCGACACCAGGATGACGGCGCCACTGTGGTATGTATCCCTCGGGGGCGGGTGCCCGAAGCGGGGCCCCAATGCCAGCCAGTTCTCAACGCGGGAGATGGCAGCTCGCTATTTTCATCTCTCGGAAGCTGTTTAGCGTGGGCTCATTCATATTCATAGGTATCGCAGGGTTCTCAAGCGTCTCAGGGTTGCTTCTCTTTTTTTCTTTCTCACCTTGAGCTCGGCTGCCGCGGCGCGTGACGGGTCAAAGTTGACTGTTATGGCGGACAATGGCCACGGACCGGTGGGTCGGGGCTTGAACACCCGCAAAATGGTTTTCCCCATCACTATTACTATCTTATATAGCCGATGGACTGGTCTCCCGCCGAGGAGCTTGAAAGTCGAGGTTCAAATCCAGGGCCAATCTGTGCTTGGTTGTGACGTTTGCCAAGTCTGGTTCCTTGGCACAGTGATACTACGCAATATTCTCGCTTACACCCAACTGCACCACCTCACCAACTCCTACCAATAAACTAAACCATCAACCACCAACTATCAGTCCCTCTCCTTCAGATAATCTTAACATCCTTGAGACGGACACCAACCCCCTACATCCCCATCACAAAACCCCAAACCCGAACCCAACCTCAACCACAGTACCACACACTACAGACACCACACACCACCCCACCACACCATCCTCCACATCCCAAACAAACACACCCCAAACACAACCCAACCCCAAACCATGGCCACCAACTCCAGCCGGGGCAACCCCATCGCCACGACGGACGGCCCGCCCGCCCAGACCCGCTCGTCGCCGCCCCACGTGCCGGAGTCTCTAAAGCGTGCGATCCGGAGCGAAGATGCTTCGGCAGGAGCAGCGGGGGACGCGGCGGGCTTGCACGCGTCCGGGGAGGATGTCGAGGCCAAGGCGCGGGGGGGGTACGTGAGAGGGTGGGGGGAG